GCCTTTAGCTTCCATTTTGAAACATGGTTAGAACTGTGTAGCGAAAAACATATTTTAAATCAATTAATTTATAATATTAATGCTCTAAAATTTACATTGAGCACTATTTTTTAAAAATGTAAATATCTATAAGAACACCGGATTATATATCTTACTGTTCTTTCTTTATATATATATATATATATATATATATATATATATTATAATTTTATCATATAGACAAGAACATTTTACTCGCTACAAAGATGCAACTTCGTTTCGGTGCATTTCAATTGCACCTCGACGGGTGAGAACCGTTTCACATACGGCTTGCTTACAAGTAGGACTGTTAAGCTGCTTCTTTGTAATGAGTAAACCTATTTGGGCCTTGTTTTGGGTGAACTTTTCACTTTCTATGGTATGTATGTATGTATGCATGTATGTATGTATGTATGTATGTATGCCTGCATCTATCTATCTATCTATCTATCTATCTATCTATCTATCTATCACAGTCTTTTCACTTTATGGTATGTATGTATGTATGTATGTATGCATCTATCTATCTATCTATCTATCTATCTATCTATCTATCTATCTATCTCAGCCTGTTATATCTATCTATCTATCTATCTATCTATCTATCTATCTATCTATCTATCTCATTCACTTCATATCTATCTATCTATTTATCTATCCCAGTCTGGTCATATCTATCTATCTTATTCAACACATATATATTTTTATTGTGAAAGTATAAAACATCAAGTGATATGTCATTGCACTATTTTGTTAAATTGTGTGTAATTCATTATGTTTCTTAAACTCCGTATTATTTATTAAGTATGTGTGCTCAATGATGCCTAAATATGCATAAATATAAAAAGAAAATTAAAAGTGAAAAAAAAAAAAAATGGAAAGGACATTTTTAGCTTTGACTCATCCTTCCGCCGACAGCCGGCGGATAATATTTTCCCACTAAAATTCTCTTTTGATCAAAACCGTACCGATCCACACCGTTCGTGAACATCCCAACAATATTAGGAAATCAGGGACCCCAATGGACAGACACAATCAATTCCGACTTTTGTGAACAAGTTTATTGAAAAAAATATGCTTCCTATATAAAATAAAATAAAAATAAACAGACTGACCTAATTGATTAAATCAGACGATAAAACTCAAGGTCCTTGCCTAGAAACAGCAAACATTCAGATTAGACTGCTGACAAAATTATGATTAGCATTTGGTTGATTGCAAATGGGTCACCCTTTGGAGGCAGACGATAACACCATGCTTTGCTAAGTACAACACGTGGCTTTACCTTGTGTTCGAACAATGAAAATAAAATTAATTAGTAAAGCAATAAATAAGTATGCCAACAAAGCTGTCACTCTGAGTGAGCAATTAGCCTAGCAGCCTTGCAAGACTTTAAAAGAAAGTTAACTCCTCACTGACACTTCGATCCTGACTGGTTTCCCGCCTTACTATTTGCCAGACTCAGCCATAGTCATCTTGTTGGTTGCCTTTAAATACAACATTCAGATTGTATTTTTTTTTTTTTGCATTTTACAACCATTAAATAAATAAAACTGATAAAGAATAAATAAAAGATGAGATATGAATTCGTAAGTTGCTTCCTTGTGATCTGGTATGACTACAGTTAGAAATCAGAGCGAGTATATATATATATATATATATATGTGTGTGTGTGTGTGTGTGTGTGTGTGTGTGTGTGTGAATGGAATTTAAATTCCCTTTTGATCCGGATTGGTTTAAATCATTGTCTCTTTGTTATTTGTTAGATCGGCATCACAGTGTATGTTCTTTCTTTCTTTCTTTCTTTCTTTCTTTCTTTCTTTCTTTCTTTCTTTCTTTCTTTCTTAGTCTGTTCCTTTATCTATCTATCTATCTATCTATCTATCTATCATTCACTTCATATCTATCTATCTATCTATCTATCTATCTATCTATCTATCTATCTATCTATCTCATTCACTTCATATCTATCTATCTATCTATCTATCTCGTTGATTTCATATCTATCTATCTGTCTATCTATCTATCTCATTCACCTCATATCTATCTATCTATCTATCTATCTATCTATCTATCTATCTGGAGAATATGTACAAGGTGCGATATATAAATTTTCGTCTAAATTACGCACAAATGAAAATAAAACTGACATAGCATTTTAACAGATAAATTTAACAAAATTACACAAGAAATGCTAAAGAGTAAATTTATTCAATAAAATCGCCATTAGCTTCAACCACAGCCTCCAGACTTCTTCAGAATCTCCTTTATCTCTTCTTGACGGTTACCTTGTTTAAGTTGATGAATGTTGCCATAATGCCTTGCCTTCAGTTCATCTTTGATATTAGAAAGAGTTTTGTTGGTCTCTCGCTCAACTGCACCCTACACATAATAATCAAAGGGGTTGCAGTCTGGGGAGTTAGGTAGTCAGATATAAGTGATGTAGTCGCAGAAATTCTGGCAGCCATGACTGGGTTCTCCTGCTTGTGTGGCATGGTGCAGAATCCTGTTGCCAGACATAGGGTCTTCCAGCAGGCATCTTCTTGACCCAGGGTAGCACTACATCCTTAAGGCGTTTGATGTAGACCTCCATGATGAGTCCGAGGCTTTCACCAACAAATTCGGGACTTCTTTTCTTATCAGAACGATCAGAGTGAGTTTTCCGAGCTGCCGTACTTTCGTAATCACAATTAGACTCATCCAACTCTTTCATTCATTGAATTCTGATACAAGAAATCAATTATTTACGGTGGGTTTTTGTACTACCTCTGGTTAAGTCAGAGATCCCAGTTTATTCTACTGTTTAACTCATGGCTGGAGGAAAACGTATTCATCCCTTTACCGAGGGCGATAGTGCGATGTCAAAGAAATAAACTCGATTAGAATCGTTAGGCTATTCACTTAGAAAAGAAGCAACAGTATGAAGTAAAAAAAAAAAATCGGTCAGTATGAATAAATCGATCGTTTGTTTCATTGTAGTTTTGCAACAGACGGATCCATGGTCACGTCCCATTTTATGTTCAATCTCTCGTCAAGCGATATGGAAACGAAGATTAACTGCTATCCATGGAGATAGTATTGACGGTGACCAGGATGGAAATTATTAATCCTAACCACGGAGATGTTGCGTAGCAACAGAATTGGCACAGGCAAAATGTATTGGTCAAAAGACTAAGACAGATGAGTGGTAAACTATTATATATACATATATACAAATGTTTATAGATAGTGTTACGCCCGGGGTTTCGTTAGGACTGCGATAGCCGGGACGCAAAGAAAAAATAAAATAAATAAATAAGAGATCCCAGGGTTCAATTTAAAAATAAAGAAAAAGAACAGTGGGAGGGGAATTCTCCAAATCCAGACACCGGTGAACACAGCAAGAAATATACAATGCGTGGACACAAAACGATAGGATACAATACGAGGATTTATAATAGAAATAGTTTATTTACAAATATACAAGGTACACAAGAAAGAAGGAAAACAAAACTTAATAACACAAGGGAGGGGGAGATGAGTAATCAATCAGACAAATATTACAGCGACGAATATCATAGGAATATAGAACAAGCAGACAATAAGATATATATAAAAAACATGTAACACTCACAGTAGATGAGGATTGATGTCAATTAGGATTTTCGTCAATATTACAGTGTAACAAAAAAGATGTTCATACACTCTTTTTTGTTCCTTTTTCTGAACATAAAAGGGAGGGATTATCAATGTTCTAATATACACATGTGAATCATAAAAGCGTAGCCGACTTGGGTGATGATATTCTTAATTTTTCGGGCAGCAAACAGCGAAATTTAGTTTTAGTGACATCTGCTTCTTCGGGCAGCAAACAGCGAAATTTTCTTTTGGTGACATCTACTTCTTCGGGCAGCAAAGAGCGAAATTTGGTTTTGGTGACATCTACTTCTTCGGGCAGCAAAGAGCGAAATTTGGTTTTGGTGACATCTACTTCGGGCAGCAAACAGCGAAATTTGGTTTTGATGACATCTACTTCTTCGGGCAGCAAACAACGAAATTTGCTTTTGTGACATCTACTTCTTCGGACAGCAAACAACGAAATTTACTTTTTGTGACATCTACTTCTTCGGACAGCAAACAACAAAATTTGCTTTTTGTGACATCTACTTCGGGCAGCAAAGAGTGAAATTTGGTTTTGGTGACATCTACTTCTTCGGGCAGCAAAGACTGAAATTTGGTTTTGGTGACATCTACTTCTTCGGGCAGCAAAGAGCGAAATTTGCTTTTTGTGACATCTACTTCTTTGGTCAGCAAACAACGAAATTTGCTTTTTGTGACATCTACTTCTTCGGGCAGCAAAGAGTGAAATTTGGTTTTGGTGACATCTACTTCTTCGGGCAGCAAAGACTGAAATTTGGTTTTGGTGACATCTACTTCTTCGGGCAGCAAAGACTGAAATTTGGTTTTGGTGACATCTACTTCTTCGGGCAGCAAAGAGCGAAATTTGCTTTTTGTGACATCTACTTCTTCGGGCAGCAAAGAGCGAAATTTGGTTTTGGTGACATCTACTTCTTCGGGCAACAAACAGCGAAATTTGATTTTGATTACATCTACTTCTTCCAACTGCAAACGGCTAAGACTGATTCTGTTGATGTCTACCTCGTCCGCGGGCAAGCAGCTAAGTGAAGAATTGTTACATCGATACGCGCGAAACCAAAACCGTCACCCGCCAGCCTGTTAGGGTCATTTGCACTTATTTGTCAAACAGCGTCCGCCTGGCCTACGACCAAGAACCAGACAGGAAATGAGAGGTTCTCTTCCGAGATTTGGCCCTGATTCAACTGGGATGAAAAACACCCCCCCCAAAAAAAACAAACAAAAAAAAACAAACAAACAAACAAACAAAAACCCAAATATATCCCACAATCTGCTTTTCCAAGAAATAAAGAAGTTATTAATATTCCTATGTCTCGTCGCACGTACACCGTGTACTTAAAATATACTTATAAAATCTGAGGTGAGGGTACAAATATTGGGCTAACGTAACAATAGATAAATAGACAGATAAATGTAGACATAGATAGATAAGTATATATATGGAGATTGATAGATATGAATGGACTAAGATAGATAGATAGATAGATAGATAGATAGATGTGGTTAAATTGAGATGGACTGATAGGCAAAAATGAGGGGAGAGAGATGAGGTCAAACTGAGACAGATAGATCCCTCTAAAAGTATTGTTCATTGAAGACATTTAGCGTTTAGATCAAAAAACTAATATGAAAGAAGAGTTCAGCATTTTGACTTTTATTTCCTGGTATTTACATTTAGATGTCTTAAACAACTTAGGACATACCACCTTTTGTTTGAACCCACCCATTTTTGAAGTGAACAATACTGATGGATCACATGACTGACACATGTTTTTGTTGCCGGGGTGTTGTTTCAACATTAAATAGATCTGAATGAGAACTCTTGGTTTTTGCCTTGGGTTTCACCTGTAAAGACTGAATTCCTTTTTTAGAATGTATAAACCAACATGAAGACTAGAGAGAGCTGTCTATGGGTGAAAAGCAATCCAATTTGAAGCTGAGAAAATAAGAAAAATCGATTAGAGCTATTCGACAAACATTGGGCATAGCCAACGCAAGAATCTGGAATGTCCTGAAAAAGAAACAAGCTATTGGTGTCCTGAGCATCAGACAGAACAGATCGACCAGGGAAGACAATAGCGGTTGATGACAAATACATTATTGGAGCTGTGAGGAAAAACCGCAAAAAGAACAGTCAGTGACATCACCAACAACCTTCAGAGTGCAGGGGTAAAGAATTTACAATCCACCCTTCGAAGAAGACTTTGAGGACAGAAATATAGAGGTGTAGTACCCTTAAACGTAATATCAGTAGCAGCCCTTAAACATAGTAGAACAGCCCCTAATAAATCTTGTAATAGCAGCAGCTCTGGGATATAAAAACACGTTTACTCTAATGTAACTCCCTCTCTTCCGGGTTTTCCTCTTTCGAACTGTGTAACATGAAATTTCCACACTGAAGCTAAAAGGGCTGTGAACGCTTCACACTAAAACACACCATCACAGTAAGCCCCACTTGAATATATTCATGGGCATTTCGTTGTGTATAGAATTTACTTCTAACAAAAGAAACTGGTGTTTTAAACTTTTCCTTTTGTTGATTTTGTTTAATAAATGTTATCTTGGATTTTAAATCAGTTAGTCTGTTATTTTGCGAATGTGTTCTTTTTCACCACCACTACTTCATGTACTATAAAATATTCTCGGGGGAAACCTTACGTATTTACAAGCGAAGTAGCAAATTCACTAAAGAAGCCATACTACAAGATGCAAACCACTCATCAACAGTAAGAATAGGAAGGCCAGATTGGAATTTGCAAGGGAATATAGAGAAAACTTCGGAAAGAATGTTTTATGTACTGATAAGACCAAGATTAAACTCTAGCAAAATGATGGAAAGGCCAAAGTTTGGAGAAATAAAGAATCTGCTTATGATCCAAAGCATACAAGCTCATTCGTGAAGCATTTTGGAAGCAATGTCTTGGCTCTGGCGGGCATAGCTGTTTCCGGAACGGGCTCATTCATATTTATTGATGATGTCACTCATGATGCTAACAACAGAATGAGTTCAGAAATCTGCAATCTGTCACTTTACAGAGAGATGCATCCAAACAAATCGGGTGGAAGTTTAGCATGCAGCAGGACAATAACGTAAAACGTACTGCTAACACAACTAAGAACTTCATCAGGGGAAAATTGAACAATTTTAGACTGACAAAGTAAATCATCGGACCATAATGCATTTCGTCTCTTGAGAAGCAGACTGATGGAAGACCCCCCTCCGAAACAAACAAGAACTGAAAGAGTCTGCATTAAAAGTTTGAAAAAGCATCACAAATGAAGAAAGCAACAGTTTGGTGATGTCAATGGGTCACAGTCTGAATGCAGTTATTGCAAGCAAATATTAAATGTTATTTACTTTAAGACTATCTGTTCCTTTATTTTAGCTCACCAAAAAAATGAGGTGACCTGATACAAAAGGTGGTATGTCCTAAGCTGTTTAACATATCTGAACGTAAATATCAGGAAATAAATGCTGAAATTCTGACTTCTTGTCTCATATTCATTTGATCTTAAAGTGTCTCCAGTGAACAACAAAAACTAAGGAATTGGAGCCCTGCATAAAACAGAGACAGAAAGACAGACTGACAGACAGATAGATAGATAGATAGATAGATAGATAGATAGATAGATAGATAGATAGATAGATAGATAGATAAGGGTAGACATAGATAGATAGATAGATAGATAGATAGATAGATAGATAAGGGTAGACATAGATAGATAGATAGATAGATAGATAGATAGATAGATAGATAGATAGATAGATAAGGGTAGACATAGATAGATAGATAGATAGATAGATAGATAGATAGATAGATAGATAGGGGTAGACATAGATAGATAGATAGATAGATAGATAGATAGATAGATAGATAGGGGTAGACATAGATAGATAGATAGATAAGGGTAGACATAGATAGATGAGAACAGATTCAGACTGATATAGATAGATAGATAGATAGATAGATAGATAGATAGATAGATAGATGTAAACTGATACAGACTGATATGGACAGACAAACAGACAGATAGATGGATATATAGACAGATAGAAAGAAAGAGGTAGACATAGACAGATAGAGGTAGACATAGATAGATAGATAGATAGATAGATAGATAGATAGATAGATAGATAGATAATGAGTAGACATAGATAGATGTGGAGACTTGAGGTATCAGAAATATGATTCTACAGAAGGATTTTGAGAATGGATGGAACATATGAGCAATGAGGATATTTTAAGGAAAACAAAAACGAAACTGGCATTTTTCTTAAAATCAGAATGATGCATTTGAAATATCTTGTATACAAAGAGGGGTTGGTGAATTTGATAGTCACAGGTCAAGTTGAACAGAAAGAAACAGCGAATAACCTACAGAATGAGCTTGTGTAAATGGTTTGCAGAACTGGGACTGGGAAGAATAGTAATGAGGCATGTATTGATAAGAGATACGAATTATAGGAAGATGTGGAGAGACATGAACGCGCAAGTCTTAAAGGGAAGGAGATAGATATGCAAAGACCGAGATAGATAGATACTGAAATAGATAGATAGATAGATGTGAGCAGATACAGACAGAAATAGATAGATAGATAGATAGATAGATAGATAGATAGATAGATAGATAGATAGATGTGAACAGATGCAGACTGATATGGACAGACAGACATATATAGATAGATGTAGACAGATACAGATAGATACAAAGAGGTCGACATAGATAGATAGATAAATAGATAGATAGATAGATAGATAGAGAGAGAGAGAGAGAGAGAGAGAGAGAGAGAGAGAGAGAGAAAAAGATAAGGTTAGACATAGATAGATAGATAGATAGATAGATAGATAGATGCGAAGAGATACAGA